GCAGGGACACAGGCAGGGACATAGGCAGGGACACAGGCAGGGACATAGGCAGGGACACAGGCAGGGACATAGGCAGGGACACAGGCAGGGACATAGGCAGGGACACAGGCAGGGACATAGGCAGGGACACAGGCAGGGACATAGGCAGGGACACAGGCAGGGACATAGGCAGGGACACAGGCAGGGACATAGGCAGGGACACAGGCAGGGACATAGGCAGGGACACAGGCAGGGACATAGGCAGGGACACAGGCAGGGACATAGGCAGGGACACAGGCAGGGACATAGGCAGGGACACAGGCAGGGACATAGGCAGGGACACAGGCAGGGACATAGGCAGGGACACAGGCAGGGACATAGGCAGGGACACAGGCAGGGACATAGGCAGGGACACAGGCAGGGACATAGGCAGGGACACAGGCAGGGACATAGGCAGGGACACAGGCAGGGACATAGGCAGGGACACAGGCAGGGACATAGGCAGGGACACAGGCAGGGACATAGGCAGGGACACAGGCAGGGACATAGGCAGGGACACAGGCAGGGACATAGGCAGGGACACAGGCAGGGACATAGGCAGGGACACAGGCAGGGACATAGGCAGGGACACAGGCAGGGACATAGGCAGGGACACAGGCAGGGACATAGGCAGGGACACAGGCAGGGACATAGGCAGGGACACAGGCAGGGACATAGGCAGGGACACAGGCAGGGACATAGGCAGGGACACAGGCAGGGACATAGGCAGGGACACAGGCAGGGACACAGGCAGGACACAGCCAGCACACAGCCAGGAGCACAGGCTGTTGTCAGTGATGCTTTCTGGGCACAGCTCCCAGAGCACAGCCCCCTGCTCCCAGCGGGATCGCTGCCCTGACCAACCACATCCTGCTTGGGATGTGTTAAAACAGGCTGTGTCCCTCCTGGGGGACACTGAGACACCCCCTGGGCATGCCCACCCACTCAGCCAGCCCCACCAGCCTTACCCAGGGCAGTTTGTCTTTGCACTTCCTGGGGGTGCTGGCGGCGCTGGGGTTCCCCAGCATCTTCCTGTACATCTCCGTCTCCACGTTCCTCTGGTCCGCGTGCTTCTTCACCAGCTTGGAGAGCTCGGCGTGGATGGTCTGGGGAGGACAGCTGGTGTTACCAGCCCTGCACCATCCCTGCCTGCCAGGGAGGGGACCTGCCACCCAGGAAGAGCTGAGGGGGTGATGTGGCCTCATCTCGCCCCACATCCCAGTGCCATGGGGCTGCACCAGGGGACACTCTGGGGGTCCAGTGTCCCTCTGTCCTGCTCGAGCCACTCCCCGCCTGGCAGCAGGGAGCAGAGCCCAGGGCTGATGCCAGACACCAGGAAAGGGATTTTATCCTTTAATCGAGACAGGAAAGTGTCTGCCTTGAGGACAGACATGAGCCAGCTCTCCCACTTTCTGTCTGGGAAAAAGGGCTTAAAACTCAGCCCGGTGTGAAGGGGGATTGCAGCAAGACCTGCAGCGTGCCCACACCTGCTGGGGCAGGACAAGGCTCCGAGTCCTGCGTGGGGCCCACAGGCTCCCCAAAAGCAGCAGGAAGCACCAGGGAGCTGGGCAGGGCAGGGTGGCAGGAGGACGTTGTGGTGGTCCTGGTGGCACAGCCGCGCTGTGCCCTCTGCTGGGGGACACATCCCGAGAACACCCGCTCTGCCAGCCCAAAATGCTGCCTCCAACACGAAAATTTGGGCATCTGGAGCATAGAACGCCCCTGCTCAGAGCTCACCAGGGCTGTCTGACAGCCCTCAGCATCCCACAGTGCCCCCAGGAGGGGTCAGGAGAAGGGATGTCTGTGCCAGCCTGGCGGCAGGCAGGTGGAGCCAGCATTTCTGGAGTGTTTTCAGCACCGGTAGCCTGGCCCCTGAGTCACCCACGCTGCGACTGGAGAGGCACCACCACTTCCCAGGAGCCCGGGCAGAGGCTGGGGAGGGCAGCAATTTGCTGTACTTGTGGTTTCACTGGACACGTCACTGCCGGGCACTTGGATTTTCCAGCCCTCTCCAATTAAAAGCTGCATCCTGGAGGAACTCCTGGGGAGCAGCTGCCCTACCCAGGGACGTGCCAGGGGAATGGCTCCCAGTGCTGCTCCCTCTCCACCCTGACCTTGATGGGAATGGAAGGGTCTGGGGTCCTGCTCAGCCTTCCAAGGGTGCTCAGATCACCTCTGAAGGTGCTGTGGGGCCACCAAGCACCTGCTCATGCCACATCTCACCCGTGACCTTCAGGGGCTGGATCACGACATAAATCCAGACAGTCTGGTGAAACCCCCATGAAAGGAATGGATACAGGAGATCCAGACAAGGATCAAAGCCCATCTGGAGAGCCAAGACCCCCAGGACGACCCCTGTGCAGGCAACAGCTCCCTGTCTCCTCCCAGCCTCGCTCCTGCTGGGGTCATTTCCTGGCACTGGTTTTTGATTTCTCCCGAGGCTCCAGTCCTGCAGCTGATCATTAACTGACAGGAAATTCCTGACCCAGAGCTCGCCCTGCCCGGGCGCTGGACCGAGCTCTGGCTGCTCCCAGCACCCGGTGATTCACTCCCGGGGCTGCTCAGCGAGTTTGTGGGGACTCAGCTCTGCTCCACCTCCCCCAGCCACAGCACAGACTGCCCGAGGCACCTGGAGCAGCCTGGACCCTCCCCACGGCACGGCCGGGCTGGCAGGGAGTCCTGCCACCGTCAGGACCAAAGGTCCACAGGGAACCTCACAAGGTGGAGATAAGGCTGGAGACCAGCCCAGCCACGCTGCACGTGGGGCATCACTCCCAGCCTCCCTTCACAGGGCTGGGGGCAGCTCCAGGGAGTCCCAGCCTTCCTGCTGAGGTTTGTAGGGACATGGAGAAGAGAGAAGAAGCAGCACCCAGGAGACCCCCAGCTCAGGGGGAGCACACACCTCCAGCCTACCTTGTTTGAAGGTTCCAGCTTCAGCGCTGCCTTCAGGATGGGAATGGCCTCTCTGTACTCCCCCTGCTGAGCCAGCACCTGCAGGGTGACACAGGGATGGAGCAGTGAGGCCTGTCCCCCAGCCCCCCGCCACGCCGTGGACACTGACCCCCTCCTCACCTTCCCCTTTCGGAAAAGAGCCTTGATGTTCCCCGGCTGGTGCTCCAGCACCTGGTTACAGGACTTGAGAGCTGCCTTGAAATGGTCCAACTTCAGCTGCGAGGCCGCCAGGTTGTTGAGACACTTCACCTTCACGTCCAGCAGCTCGGCCTCCTCGTCCGGGCTGAAATGCACTGCACGCAGCCCGCGGCCAGGTCACAGCAGGGCCGGCAGCCCCGGCCCCCCTGCCTCGGCGGGGACAGCTACCTTTGGAGCTGGAGCCCAGGATCCTGAGGGCGATGTCGTAGGAGTTGACGGCCAGCACGTAGTCTGCCTGCTGGTAGAAGAAGTTGCCGCGCTCGCGCTTGCGGTTGGCCAGGCGGATCTTCTCCGTGCCGCTGAGCAGCTCCAGGTCGGGCGCGTCCCGAGCCGCCAGCAGCTCCACCTCCAGCGTCAGGGACGCGTTAGGGGGCACGTCAGGGCTCCTGCAAAGCCAGGCCGCCACCGTCACCTCTCTGGGGTGTGCGGGTTTAGCACCCCGGCTCAGAAATCCAGGGGCAGGGAAAGGTGTGGGTTTTTTGAGGCAGGACACGAAGCAGAGGTCGGACAGGGGGCTGGGGACAGCTCCCCCACCCTGCCCAGGCGGTGTGTGCCAGCTCACCTGCCCTGGGCTCCATAGCAGTACTTGGCATCTGCCACAATCAAAGCCGTCTCCCCCATCTCCAGCAGCTGCACGCACAGGTCCAGAGCCTGCAGGGGACAACGCGGCAAAACAGGAGGGGCTGTGAAGGTGCCCCCGTTCCAACCTGCTGCCACGGGCAGGAACATCTTCCACAGGACCAGACGGCTCCAAAGCCCCTCAAACTCGGCCAACACCATGGGGAGGGAGCACGAGCAAGGACAGAGGGGCCACTGCGACCCACAAACGGGATGTCACCTCTAATCCTTATAGATTTATAGATTCCCCCATCACCGACCCAGCCCTCCCCGTGCCCCTGAGGGGAGGTCGTGCCCCCACCCCAGCTGGCACCCCCTGTTCACCTGCAGGACATCGCAGTCCCCCAGCGTGAAGGTGAGGCCGGGCTCCTCCTCCACCACGGTGCCATCCTCCAGCGTGGCCTTCAGGCGGATTGTCACGTCCTGCCCCTTCTGGGGACGGCTCTCCGCACCCCGACCCGGCACCAGCGTCTTCTTCTTGAGCAAACCATTCCCTGGCACAGAAAAACCATGGGCACCCGGCGGGGGGGGAAGCCCGAGTGCCCCCGCCCTTGTGCGGCCCCGGGGAGCCCGAGAGGCCCCGGTACCGGGCCGCCGGTGCTCTCACCCAAAACATCGAGCCACTCCTGGGGGTCCCCGGCCCCCGCGCCCCCCGCGCCCCGCTCCGGGGGCTGCGCGTCCTCCCGCGCCGGGGCCGCCGGCCGGCCCACGTCCTCCAGCGGCGGCAGCTCGCTCAGGTCATCCTCCTCCTCCTCCTCCTCCTCCTCCTCCAGCACCTCGAAATCCTCGGCCGTGTCCGGCTGAGCCGCGTCCGCCGCCGCCCCGGCGCCGGTGCCCGCCCGGCCCGGGGAGCCGCTGCTCGCTTCCTCCCCGCTGGACGCCATGGCGGCGGCGCAACCTGCAGCGGGACAGACGGCAGCGATCGGGGCTGCTCCTACCGGCAGAGAGGCTCCGCCGGCACGGAGACCACCGGGACCCTCCGGGGGCGGGGGATGCGCAACGGGACGGGGCAGAGCCGGGAGGGCCGGGCCCGGCGGGGCGGGGCTCGGGGATAGCACGCTCGTCAGCCGCGCGCCCGCGGCGCGCCCCGACGCCTTAAAGGGGCCGCCACCAGCGCGGCCGCCCCGGCGCGGCGGGCAGCGGGGCCCGGGGCTCGGCACCGGTACCGGAGAGGCTCCGTGATGCCCGCAGGGGTCGCCACCCTCCCGGCCGGCCGCTCTCCGGGACTTCCGGCTCGGCGCGGTGACGCGGCGGGGTCGCGCCGCACGTGACTGCACACCCGGAAGCGGCGCGGAGCGGCCGCCGGTGCCGCCCCCGGTGCCGCCGCCGCTCCCGTCATGTGAGGCGGCGGGACGGCTCCCGCAGGTGCGCGGGCACTGCTGGTGGGAGGCCCCGGGGACACCACGGGCGGTCCCCGAGGGAACGCGGCGCTGCCGGACCGGGGGCGGCCGGGGCACCCCCGTTACCGGCGTGCGGGGCCGCCCCGGGACGGGGCACGGCGGCGCGGTACCCGGTGCTGGGCGCATGGCAGGGCGGAGGGGTCCCGCTGTCGCGGAGGGGAAGGCGGGGGGGGGTCTCCGTTACCCCGTTACCGGCACCGGGGCTCCGGTGCCCCGGGCTGAGCCGCCGCCGCGGTCCCGCAGGTCACGATGGAGCCCTCGGCCTCGCAGGTGTTCTGCGGGCGGGTGCTGGGCATGGTCAACGCCGAGGACGTGAACGCCATCATCCTGGCGCAGAAAAACATGTGAGTGCCCGGGGGGAGCGGCGGTACCGGCACCGGGAGCCGGCCGGGATCGTTGCCGAGCCCCGCGTGCCTCCCCCGCGCAGGTTGGATCGCTTCGAGAAGACCAACGAGATGCTGCTCAACTTCAACAACCTGTCGAGCGTGCGCATGCAGCAGATGAGCGAGCGCTTCCTGCACCACACCCGCAGCCTGGTGGAGATGAAGAAGGACCTGGACAGCATCTTCCGCAGGATCCGGTGGGCGCGGGCTGGGAGCCCCCCGGGAGGGCTGCGGGGGTGGTAGAGCAGGGCACAGTTGGAGTTTGGGGGGCTCTGAGGAGGGAGGTCTCTTGGGGAAGGGAAGATGTGTGTTGCCCATCTTCCACAGGATCCGGTGGGCGCGGGCTGGGAGCCCCCGGGAGGTGGTTTGGGGGGCTTGTGGGGGGTTTGGGGGTGTTAGAGCAGGGCACAGTTGGAGTTTGGGGGGCTCTGAGGAGGAAAATCTGTTGGGGAAGGGCAATGTGTGATGGAGTGGAGGTTGGAGCTTTGGGTTTCCAGGGTCCTGCTCCGGGTGGGATGGGCTCGGGTGCCCACAAAAGGTGGGCTTGAGAAGCCCCCCGTGCGCTGGGCAGGGCGGAGGGGCTGCTCTGGGGGTTTGGGGTGGGGATCCCTCAGCCTCGGGGTCTGTTTGCGGTGCCAGGGAGCCGTGGGGCAGCTGAGCTCCCCATGACTGCGCTGCTCTCCTCCCCAGGGCGCTCAAAGGGAAGCTGGCGAAGCAGTACCCGGAGGCTTTCAGCAGTGAGTGCTTCCTGATGTGCACGTCCATGGAGCTGTGGGATGGTTTGGGTGGGGAGGGACCTCAAAGCCCACCCGGTGCCAGCCCTGCCATGGCAGGGACACCTCCCGGTGTGCCAGGCTGCTCCAGCCTGGCCGTGGGCACTGCCAGGGATCCAGCTGCTCTGGGAATTCCATCCCACCCTCCCAGGCAGGAATTCCTGATTCCCAATACCCCACCCATCCCTGCCCTCTGGCACTGGGAGCCATTCCCCTTGCCCTGGCACTCCACGCTCAGTTTTCCTCCTGTGGGAAGAGTCCCTGTTCCTGAGGCATCCCTCAGGAATCACAAATCCACGTGCCGGACCCAGAAAACTCCGCAATCCCATTAAATCCACTTACAAGAAATGACAAACGCCCCCTAGTTTACACTCTGGCGGCTCGCTGGGTGTTTTTAACCCTTGCAATCACTCTCCTGCCGCCCCAGCACAAACCCACCACCCCCCTCTCCCCCGGCAGACATCCACGAGTCCCCCATCCTGGAGGACGACGACGACTTCGACCCCGTCCCCAAGAGCACCACGACCACCATCGCTACCTCGGAGCAGAGCACGGAGTCGTGTGACAGCAGCCCCGACGTCATCTCCCCCACCACCAGCCAGGATTTTGAGGATTTGTCCCAAGGCCAGTACGATGGCCCTGCCCTGAACGGACAGAGTCTCACGGACGAGGACACGGCCAGCGGCCTGGACTAGGAGCCCTGAGCTGCCCTGCGGAACTTTCTAGCCTGTGTTTATATTGGTGTGTCGCTCCTTTAGGTTTTTGGGTTGGTTTTTTTTTGGTTTTTTCCTCTCTCTCTCTCGGGAAGAGGGAAGCCAAGGCTGGGAGAAGCTGAGGGAGGAAGGTGCTGCCTCCAAACTGCTGCTGAGGTGTAAAGGCAGCGCTGGCTTCAGGGGGGATCAGTAAACCCTGGGTTGGAAATGCCTCTGCTCCTGTGCTCCCTCCGCTGCACCCAGGACAGCCGCCAAACCTCACCCTCCCTGCAGATTTCTGGGTGCACAAAAGCCGTTCTCGGAGCGCGGATGTTCGTGTTTTGTAAGGAGTGCTGTCTCGGGGGCTCTGTGAGCCCACCGGGGTCTGTCCCTGCTGCTGCTGGGCTCGTGCTGGCTGAGCTCTGCGCCGCTGGGACGAGCCAGAGCCCGGGGAGAGCCGCGTTTGCCCTGGTGCTGAGCTCAGCCCCTCACGGCGCTGCTGGCTGCTCCACGGGAGCAGGAGCTGCCCCGGGTCTTCCTTTTCCACCAGCACCACACCGTGACGGAGGAACTGTGCGGGTCTGGGGTCCTGAAGGGCTGGGAGGGGGTGGCACTGCAGGGCTGGGGCTGAGCCTGGAGCTGTGGGGCCTGTCCTGGGGTGGTGGAACAGCGTGGGGATGGCTGTGGGGCCGCTCTGGGGTCCGGGGGTCAGCGTGACCTGGTCTGGCACTCGGGGGCTGGTCCTGGGTCCAGTCCTGTGGCCGTGGGGTCAGTGTGGGGCCGGTCCCAGGGGCTGTGGGGTCAGTGTGGGTTTGGGGGTCAGTCCCGGGGGCAGTGTCGGGTTTGGGGGTCAGTCCGAGGTTTGGGGGGTCACTCCTAGGGTCACTGCCAGGTTTGGGGGTCAGTGCCAGGTTTGGGAGTCAGTCCCGGGGGCAGTGCCGGGTTTGGGGGTCGCTCCTGGCCCTGTGCTCAGGGCGGGGCTGGTCCCCGGTCCGTGCAGCCGCTCCCGTGCCCTGTCCCGCGGTGCCGGTGTCACCCCGGCAGTGATAGAACAGACAGGGCTGTCACGGGGCGGTACCGGAGCCGCCGGGGGGCGGAGCCGCTGTCCCCGGGGCGGTACCGGGGCTCTCGGGGGGCGGTACCGGGGCTCTCGGGGGCGGTGCCCGTGCCCCGCCGGCAGTGACGCGGGCGCGGTTCCGGCCCCGCCTCCCTTTCCCTCAGCAGCGCGGCCGCGGTGCGCGCGGTGCGGGGCTGGAGCGGGCCCGGGGCGGGGGCCTGGATCCCGGGATGGGCCCCGGATCCCGCCAGGGGGGCTGGGATCCCGAACGGGCGCTTGGGACCCGGGAGCGGGGCTGGATCGCGGAGCGGGGCTGGGAGCTCGGGAGGGGCCCGGGGCCGGGTCTGGGTCCCGCGGGAGGGCCCGAAACGCGCGGTGGGGGCTGGGCCCGGGAGAGCGGGGCTGGGCCCGGGATGGCGGCTGGATGCCGGGAGGGATGCTCGGGAGCGGGGCTCTGAGGGGCTCTGAGGGGCCGGGAGCGGCGGGGCCCGGCGGGGGCGGGACGCGGCGGCACCGGGCCCGGCCCGGCGTGACGCGGCCGCCGCTCCCGCAGTGAGACGGTGCCAAGATGCAGATCTTCGTGAAGACCCTGACGGGCAAAACCATCACCCTCGAGGTGGAGCCCAACGACACCATCGAGAACGTGAAGGCCAAGATCCAGGACAAGGAAGGTAGCGGCGGGGCCGGGAGCGGCGGGGCGGCCCCGCGGGGCCCTCCCGGTGTCCCCACGGCCGTGCTTGTGTCCCGCAGGGATCCCACCCGACCAGCAGCGCCTGATCTTCGCGGGGAAGCAGCTGGAGGATGGCCGCACGCTCGCGGACTACAACATCCAGAAAGGTGCTCCCCGGACCCCGGGGGGCTTTGGGGGGCGTTTTTGGGGTGCCAGCTGCGGTTCCCCCCCGGTGTGACACGGATCTCTCCTCGCAGAGTCCACCCTGCACCTGGTGCTGCGCCTGCGAGGGGGGATCATCGAGCCCTCCCTGCGCCAGCTGGCCCAGAAGTACAACTGCGACAAGATGATCTGCCGCAAGTACGCGCCCGGCTCCCCTCCAGTGGCCCTTCCCCGTGTCCCCTCCCGTGTCCCCTCTCATGTCCCCTCCCCGTGTCCCCCCCGTGTCCCCCAGCCCCGTGTCCCTGCTCACCTGTCCCCCCCAGGTGCTACGCCCGCCTGCACCCCCGTGCTGTTAACTGCCGCAAGAAGAAGTGTGGGCACACCAACAACCTGCGCCCCAAGAAGAAGGTCAAGTAGAGCCTCCAGCCCTGCCCGCGCCGCCCAATAAAGCATCGCAGCGCTCAGCCTCCTTTGCTGGTGGTTTTTTACCCAAAGTGTGGTTTTCAGTAAAGGGGGGCGGTGCTGGAGCAGTGTGGGAGGGTGGGGAGCGGGGATGGGGGTGCTGCTGGTGGGCAGGGCCTGCAGCAGCACTCACTGGGCCAGCAGTGGGACCCCCTGCCCACCCACGGGACCCCCAGCCGTGTGTACACAGCAGATGGACACGGGGACTCGGCTGGGGACTGGACCAGCACCAGGACCACACACAGAACCCCCTGCTCATGGACTGGGACCCCCAGCCATGGGGGTGGCTGTCACCAGGACCCCCTACACACCCTGGGACCCCCAGGCGTGGGGGTGACTGTCACCAGGACCCCCTACACACCCTGGGACCCCCAGGCGTGGGGGTGGCTGTCACCAGGACCCCCTACACACCCCTGCTCACGCCCTGGGAGCCCTCTGGTCACTTCTGCAGGGTCTGCATGGACACTGCCCCCCCTGCCCACTGCTGGGACCCCCGGCCAGCCGTGCACGGGACTGGCTCGGTCCTGGGCTCTCCCTGTTCGGCGGCAAACCCACCGGGAGCCCCCGACCGCGTGCCCAGGGACCGGCACCGGGACCCCCTGCTCAGGGAGCCCCCGGAGCCCCCCTGCCCACCCACCGGGCCCCCGGCCGTGCGTGCAGAGCACCGGGCAGCCGGGGCAGGGCAGCGGGAGCGGCGGCGCTGCCGCTCGGTGCCTGCAGGTGGCGGCGGAACCGCGCTCCGCCCCGCGGGGCCCGGGCCTGCGCCGTGCGGCCGGGCCGGCCATGGTGAGCGGTACCGGGAGCGGGACGGGAGCGGCCCCCGGGGGTCGGGAGGGGCGCCCCGGGAGCGAGCGGGTCACGGGGGGGTCGCGGATGGGGGGTCCCGGTGCCCGTCCGTGTTGGGAACCGGGGGATGCCGGTGCCGGTCCGTGCACACGTGGCCGGGGGGCTCCCGGTGCGTTTGCGGCGGGCCGGGGGCATCCCGGGGCCGGGGGGGTCCCGGTGCCCGCCTGGGTTGTGTGAGCGCGGCCGGGGGTCCCGGTGTGCATAGAGAGGGGTCCCGGTGCCCTTCGGTACCGCGGGCACGTGTCCGGGGGGGGTCCTGGTGTCAGTCCGGTTCGTGCACGGGTGGCCTCGGGTCCGGCGGGTGGGCAGGGGGATATGAGGGGTCCCGGTGCCCGTCTGTGCTGTGCGCACACGGCCGGGCGGCTCCCGGTACCGGTACCGGGCTCAGCTCAAGCACCGCGGCCGGGAGCCCCGGAACCGGTGCTGGGCGAGACGCGTTGCCCCAGCACCGGGATGATCCTCCTGCCCGGTGCCCGTTACCGGCTCACCGGTGCCGCCGCGTCCGTGCCCTCCTGTCCCGCAGACGGGCGAGGCCGTGCGGGAGCTGCTGCAGCGGCTGCGGGAGCTGCAGAGCGAGCGGGTCGAGACGTACCGGCTCTTCGAGGAGTGAGTACCGGCACCGGCACCGGGCCCCGGGGGGCGGCACCCACCGGGACACGCGGCACCCCGGCAGGGAAGCGGATCCCCCGTGCCGATTGTTTTGCATCCTGTTGGGCCGGGGCCATGGATGGCTGATGAGCTCCAGCTGGCAGCGGGGCTCTGCGCTGGACACCTGAATCCTATTTGAGCATCCAGCACATGAGGGACTTCCCGGGATGCAGGGCTGAGAGTGTAAAGGGTGAAAAAACCCAAACCCCCGACTTTCCCCCCACAAAAAGCAGTTTCCAAAGCTGTCCCGCGTGAGGGGTGAGGCTGCGTGGTCCTGCTGCCAAATCCAGGCAGGAAAACCCAGGGAAACCCAGGGAAACCCTGCTGGTGCTGCCTGTGGCGGGCTCAGCTCCAGGATGGGCACCCCGGGGTGGTGACAGTGGCTTCTCCCCCCCGACCTGCCCGCAGGGGCCACCGGGCGTACCTGAGCAGTGCCCCCCACTATGACTTCCCGCGGTACCGGCAGCTGGTGCACGAGGTCACCGTGGCCTTCAGCGGCATCTCCCGGGAGGTGCTGGGCATCGCCGGGCGCCTGCGGGACCAGCTCGGCCGCCCCGACCTGGCCCAGCACCTGGCCCGCCTCCAGGACAGGGAGCAGGAGAAGCTGCAGCTGGTGGGTGCTGGGCTTGGGGGGGGAGTCCCTGGGGCTGCTTGGGGGGGTCTCAGCTGCCGTGGTGTCCCCCCGCAGACGGCGCAGCTGCAGCTGGCCCGGCAGCAGGCTCAGGAGCAGCCCGAGGTGGACGCCCATCAGCAGGAGGTGCAGGAGCTCAAGCACAAGTAGGTGGTGGCCCCGCTGCTGTCCCCCCCCTCATTTTGGGAGGGCAGCATCCCCCTAGCCTGGAACCCCCACTGCCATCCCCTTGTGCCCCCTGTTTTGGGTGGCACCCCCTCCCCAGCCCGCGGGATCCTGGCGTGTCCTGAGCTGGAAGAGACCATGGAGTGCAGGCCAGGAGCCCCTTCCCCGCGCTCCCCCGCCCTCCCTCCGGCCCAGGGGGGCCCAGATGGTGCCTTCGGGGTCTGGCGGCGCTGCGTGGCCGCGTCCCCTCGGCCTCCCCAGGCTGAGTGTTTCATAAACAGCGCGGGGAAGGCGAGGCGGCCCACATAATACGCTCCATATGGGCTTTATTTATAGTTTCCATCCGCTCTCGTAGGCTAATTAAAACCATTGAGGCAATCAGCGAAATTCTCCAGGACCTTAAGTACGATTCGGAAGAAGTTGAGTGATGGGTGTCCCCGTGGGAACGGCTGGAGGGGCCGGGCTGGTGGAACGGGGGCCCCGCTCATCCCCCACCCGCTCCCGGCGCACCTTGGCAAGGTGGGCATTGTCCTCGGGGCCCCTTTTCTGGAGAACCGGCGGGAAGGGGGGGAGCAGCTCCCTCTGGGACAAGAGGGGTCCCCCTAAATCCTGAGTCCCCCTCAGCAGAGTGGGGACTGGTTCCAGTGGGGCTGGTCCCCCTCCCCGGCTGTGCCAAAGGCAAACCACACCCTGCAGTGCCAAGGGGCTGCCACGCTGGGCCTCCATCAAGCTGGGCACTGTCCCTGCTGCCAGCTGGAGCCCCATGGGCAGCAGCCCCCCCAAACCACGCCTTGGGGACCGGCTGTGCCCCCAGCCCCACTGCAGCTCCGCAAGCGCTTTTTCTACGGTCACCCCAAATAAACCTGTCCCCACGGAGCTGGCCTGAGCGGTGTCATCTCAAGGGTTTGTGTGGCCCCTGCTGCCCCAGTGCCACCCCCTCCGCCCTGGCTGGGTCCCCTGGGAGCCCCGGGCTGGGGTGACAAGGGCCACGGGCCCCACTTGGCTGCCCGCTGCATCCCCGTCCCCGCGCAGCGCTGCCGCTCCGCTGACGCAGACCCCGCTGGGCTTTCAGAGGTTTATTGGCATTAAGCTTAAATCTGTTCCTAATTGACTGAAATGGAACCAAAATAAGGCTGGTTTGAATCAAAACTGGAGCAGGCACTGGGCAAACCCCAGCAGCCTGCAATCAGCCCGCGTGGCTCCCTGGGGACGGACCCCTCCGTGCACTCGCACGTGGGGACCCTGGCGAGAAAAAGGCCAAAATCGCTTCCCGGGGGGAACTGCGGCGAGGGAGGGGTCACCCGGGAAGCCCCCGCCGCCCCTTTCATCCCAGAGGCTGCTCCGGCTGGCGGAGCAAAGCCTCGGTGCCTCCCCCGGCCGGGCAGGGCTGGGGGGTCCCCTCGCTGCCGCGGGGCCAGGGTCCCACAGAGCCCCCGGGGCTGGGCCAGCCCGGCCCCCCAGCCTCAGCCCACCCCATCCGCCAGGGCCGCGGGGCCGCGCTGCGCCCCCAGCCGGGGAGAAGAAGTGCGAAAGGCTCCTTACCTACCTGGTTGCGTGTTTTGTGCGATTTCTGCAGCCACACGCGCCACTGGTCGTAGAGTTTGATGCCCAGGTTGGAGCAGCCGTAGGCGTGCTTCTTCACCCAGCCGAAAAACTGCTTCAGCTCCCGCCGCAGCGTCGTGTTCTGCTCCCCCCCTTTGGCGTCGCAGCCCCCCGCCACTCGCTCTGCGGGGACAAGGGGGTCGGTGGCACACGGGGGGACGCGCCTCGACCCCTCCCCATCGCCGCCGTGCCGCGGATGAGGAGGGCCCAGAGGAGCACGAGCAGGTTTTGGCTCCCGGCTGGGAAAGCCGAGCTCCGAGCTGGCTCCTTTGGGAGAAATCCGGGTGCCGGGCAGGGCCCCGCGGCCCCGGCGGGCGCTGCCGGCCGCACTCACCGCTGCGCGGCGTGGAGGCGGCCGTGGGGTTGCTCCAGTCGCTCCAGATCCCGGCTTTCTTGGAGCCGTAGATGCTGAAGGGGTTACAGCGCACCTGGACGAAGTAGACGGTGCCGGGGCGCAGGCCGGCCAGGCGGCACGAGGTCTGGTTGCCCACATCATCCACCACCTGCGGAGCGAGGCCATGGGATCCCCGGCCCCTCGGCCGCCCCCGCCGCCCCCCGGCCGTGCCCACGCACCTTCCACTCGGAGCTGTCCTCCACCCGGTATTGGATCTGGTACTTGGCTTGGAAGAGGAAATCCTTGAGGGCCGGCGGGGAGCTCCAGCGCACGCTGAGCTGGTCCTCCAGGTCGCCCACCCTGCTGACGTGCACGTCCGACGGCGGGTCCGTGGTGACTGCGGGGACAGCGCAGGGCTAGCGGGGCAGCGCCGCGGGGCCGCGAGGGTTAAGGAGCCGCGGATGTAAAAGCGACTCGGAGCAAAGCAGCCTAATTCGATTAGGAGCAATTCTGCTCACATATCGCCCATTTCCTGCTGCCCCAGCGCAGCGCGGCGCGGCCCTCCCCGCCCGGTCACCGGTGACACGGCGACACGGTGACACGGTGGCGGTGGCGTGGCTCACCCACGTCCAGGATGTCCAGCATGACCACGTCGGACACGGCCACCCCCAGGCGGTTGGACGCCTCCACCCAGATCTCGTAGGGCGTGAAGAGGGCCAGGTCCTTGGGGATGTGGCAGGAGTAGGTGCCGGCCGTGTGGTACTCCTGGCAGGTGTTGTCCTGGCCGTACCACCTGCGGCAGGGATGGGTGAGCTGCTGGCACCGCTCCCCCATCCCCGCGATGCTCCCGTGGGTCACTTCTTGGTTTTTCCACGCTGCCAGAACTGGGGGAGCGGCCCCGTGGCTCACTCAGGGATTCCCAACCCGACCAGACCCACAGCAGCTTCTCCTCACCCTGCCCAGCTCCAGGAGGAAACTCATCCCAACGGCACCACCCCAGCCAGGAGGCACGGAGCTGCCCCTTCCCTGCTTCCCGTTGAATCCCACTGCAAATTTTTAACAAAACAGGGATGGAGGGGAGCTCCCACCTGCGCTTGTACTTGAGGGTGTAGTTGGTGTGCAGGAAGGTCTCCCCTTCTGTCCCGGGCGCCCACTTGCAGGTCAGGTCCTTCATGTTTTTGGACCAGCAAGTGATGTTGACTGGTTTTTCTGGGGGTACTGGGAGAGACAAAAACCAAAGAACAAAAGGTTCCAGAGCTGTTTCTTTTCCAGCCACGGAGACGCAAACCCCAAATCCCAGCTGCATTCCCAGCTGAGCCTCTGCATTCCCGGGAATGCGGGAATGCGTAGCGACCCAAAAAACAAGCCCGAGCTGCATTCCCTGTTCTGATCCCATATTCCTGGGACACAGCATCGTCCTTAAAATAGCCCGAGATAAAATCTTACGATTATTGGTTCGGACAAGCGCGTTTTAACCGAGGCTGTGCCGAAGCAGCCTCTCAGCTGCCTGCGGGTCAGGGCTCCACCAGAGCAGCTCCTGGCACGCTTTGGTGAGAACCAGGACGCTGATTCCTCTGTGGGGATCCCTGGCTTCTCTCCCATGGGGGAGGCACAGCCCAGTGCTGGCCAGACCCCGGTATGGAGCGGCTGGACCCTGACACAGAGCTGGACCCTGGCACTGAGTGACCAGACCCTGACAGAGTGACCAAACCCCGACACAGAGTGACCAGACCCTGACAGAGTGACCAGACACCAGCACAGTGACCAGACCCTGACAGAGTGACCAAACCCCGACACAGACCAGACCCCAGCACAGAGTGACACAGAGCAGCCAGACGCTGACACACAGTGACAAGACCCTGACAGAGTGACCACACCCCAGCACAGTGACCAGACCCCAGCACAGAGTGACAAGACCCTGACAGAGTGACCAAACCCCAGCATACAGTGACCAAACCCCGACAGAGTGACCAGACCCTGACAGAGTGACCAGACCCCAGCACAGTGACCACACCCCAACACAGAGTGACCAGACCCCAGCACACAGTGACCAAACCCTGCCAGAGTGCCCAAACCCCGCCAGAGTGACCAGACCCTGACAGAGTGACCAGCCCCTGACAAAGTGACCAGACCCCAGCACACAGTGACCAGACCCCAGCACAGTGACCAGACCCCAGCACAGTGACCACACCCCAACACAGAGTGACCAGAAACCCCGACAGAGTGACAAGACCCTGACAGAGTGACCAAACCCCGGCATACAGTGACCAAACCCCAGCACAGAGTGACCAGACCCCAGCACACAGTGACCACTCCCCAGCACAGTGCCCAGGCCCCATCACGGCGCGTTATGCACACCCCATCACGTACATCCAACATAGAGACAGGAGCCGGCCAGGATGCCGCCGTCTCTGCTGTGGCACACCAGGTTGTCCCCCGACTGCTGCCTGGAGCCGTTGAGGCGGGCCAGGGCCACGCTGAGCGTGGAGGGGCCCAGGGCGGCGTAGGAGGCGGCCGGGAGGCGCCGCCCGTTCAGCGTCCAGTACAGATCCTCGGCCTTGAGCGGCATGTCCGGGCTCACCGTGCACGTGGCCACCAGCGAGGAGCCGATCAGCAGCGTGGGGTCCTGCGGGGAAATCACCGCGGGGTCTGCAGCCGGGGAGACAGAGAGCACGGGGTCAGGCAGGGAGGCTTTGGTGCTGAGCTGAGCTGTTTAAGCATGTCTCGTGTGTGTTTAAATACATTTTATATCTGGTTTGCATTGATTTCAACGCCTTGGTGTCTCTTCTGTATTCATTTAAATACGTTTTATATCTGTTTCAGCGCATTGTTTTGCTAGTTTACATCAATTTAAATCATCACGTCTATATCAATTTAAATCATCATATATGTTTTGTGTTAATTTAAATACATTGTTTGGCTATTTTACATCGATGTAAATCATCGCAAGCCTATACTGATTTAAATCACGTATCTATTTTGTATAGATTTAAATCATCACGTATCTATTTTGTATCAATTTAACACACTGCTTTCCATTTTACATCCTTTTAAAGACACTGCTTTCTATTTTACATTGGTTTAAATGTGTTTCATGTCAGTTCTTTACTTCTGCACTTTTTATATCTATTTTATACCTGAAGACATTTTATATATTTTATATCTCCTTAAGTAGTTTTTGTATTTATTCTGTATCTCAATACACACCTATTTTTTATCTATTTAAATACGCTTTACACCTACTTTTACATCTACATACATTTTATCTCGAAACACATTTAATATCTATTTTTATATCAACATCTATTTTTTAACTTTTAAAATACTTTTCCTATCCACTTTTTCATCTTTTTTTTTTTTTCCCCAGGGCTGGGGTGCGGCTGGGCTACAGCTTCGGAAGTTTTTCCGCGACAAAAGCATTTCAAAAAAAAAAAAGAAAATTGGAGGGGATTTCCCCCTCCCCATTTTCCCAACACTGCCAGGGTCCGGCATTCTTCCCAAGAGCTCCCTCCTCATCCTCACCATGCGCTCCCCTCGCCAGCCCGAGGGTGCCGGGGGCTGTGGGGGGAAATTCCCCCGCTCCGCCGGGAGAAATTCCCGGCGCGGGGTGTTCCGTGTCCGTCAGCCCTTCCCGGCTCCCTCCGCACGCGCCGGGCTAACAACATCCCAAATTACCTCCCGGAAAGTGCCGCGACCTCCCCGCCCCTGCGACCCGCCGGCCCCGATCGGCTTTCAGCGCCCGGCTCCCTCCCGGCCACCCCAAAATCCCCGGCACGCATTAGGAGAGACCCTAATTAGCGCTCCGCAATTAGCGCTCAGGGTCCTCCTTGTGCCGGGGACGCTTAATTGGGAATCGCCGCCAGCGCTTGGGGGATGCTGGAGGGAGGAATTCCAGCGGGGAGAAACAGCCGGGGTACCCCAGAGAGCCGAAAAAGAGGGGGTACCCCAGAGAGCCCAGAGCAGCCGGGGTACCCCAGAGAGCCCAGAGCAGCCGGGGTACCCCAGAGAGCCGAAAAAGAGGGTGTACCCCAGAGAGCCCAGAGCAGCCGGGGTACCCCAGAGAGCCCAGAGCAGCCGGGGTACCCCAGAGAGCCCAGAACAGCCTGGGGTACCCCAGAGAGCCCAGAGCAGCCTCGGGTACCCCAGAGAGCCCAGAGCAGCCTCGGGTACCCCAGAGAGCCCCGGATGGTGCCAGGCGCCCCAAGAACCCCCGGATTTGTACCAGGCGCCCCAAGCACCCCCGGATTGGTGCCAGGCACCCCAAACACGCGCGGCACGGGGCTGGGTACCCCGGACACCCCGAGCACCCATGGGTGACCATGGATCCATGCCACCCCCCGGAGCAAAACCCTCCCCAAGGCCAGCCGGGCCTCTGGAAACCTCAGCCCCCCTCGGTGCCACCCCGCCGATATCAGACCCTGCACTCCCGGCCCTGATTCTCCTAAATCTTAATCTAAACAGCCCCAGAAACTCACACGAGCACCGTAAAACAGACACGTTTCCCATCCTCCGAGCAGGACCCTCTGGAGGGGCCAATTTTCTCTCTCTCGGTATTTTTTTTCCCCTGGATTTTGGTGTTTTTTCCCTTCCTCAAGCAGGAGCCTCTGAAGGGGCCAATTATATACATATATATATTATATTTTTTTCCCCCTGGAATTGTTTCCCCCCCTCAGCACGGCCGCAGCACCGAACATGTGTTTTAAAAGGGAAAAGTGTGAAGTTTTCCGATCGGAGAGGAAAGGGCCGGAGAGACGCAGGCGGGCTGTGGAATGTGCAAGTTGCAACGAAAATACCTGCTCGGGGGTTTTATGGCTTCTCTATTGCAAAAAAAAAAATGCTGATCAGGTGCTAAGTAATGCTATAAAGTAAAACCACATTTCCAAGGTGTCGGGAACGTTTATGCTTTTCTTCCGAAGGGCCGGATTTCATTTTAGTTTTATATCGGAGTTTGAAGGGGTTGGCAAAGAAAAGGGGGGAGGGAAAAAAAAAAAAGCTCCGATAAGTGTCAGAGATCACGCAGTTAAAAAAGATTTATTGAGCTGTGCAGGGGGTTAAAGGAAAATAGAAATAATTGCCCTGAAGAACAAAAGGGAATTTGGGAAGCTCTGGATTCCACAGGAAAAATAAAATTAAATATATATGTGTAGTTTGAGCTCTTCTAAAACTCGAGCAGCGAGGTTTGCGGGCAGACACGGCACCCAAAAACGCTTTATCCCTCTTTTCTGCTCTGCTCTCCGGTCTTTTTTTCCCCTTTTCTCATCCCCGACTGGCATTTCTCGTGCCCATCCCTGGGCTCGAGGAGGGATTTATAAAAAGCCCAGGCATTCCAGCGCGGCCGAGCTGCACCGAGGGGAAACTTTCGCTCTCTAAAAGGAGATTTGGCTTCGCCTTCGCCAGCGCCGCACGTCGAGGGGCGGCGGGGCCAGCGCTGCCCCGGACCCCCGTGGGGAGGGGGAAATGGGGGTCCGGGGGGGAACCCGGCCGCTCGGGGGGAGAAAGGAGCGGGCCCAGCCCCAGCGAGGGTCCGGCCGTGGCCTCGGCGGCTCCCAGCGGGACCAGCCCCGCCGGGCACCGCGCTGGGCACCGCGCTGGGCACCGGAGCCGCCGGGACTGGCCGCGGAAGGGGTTTGTGGAGCGCTCCTTCTCCCCGCCCGATGGCTCCAGCAGTTCCTGCCCCGATTAACGCCCGCAGGAGCCCCCGATAAGGACGCGGGTGGCTCCGGGCTCCGCGGCGGGGCCGGGACCCCGCGGCGGGGCCGGGACCCCGCGGGAGCTGCCGGGCGAGCCGTGCCCGCCCCGGCCGGTGCCGTTCGCGCGTCGGAGCGAACATCCATCGCCTTGAGAAATTCCCATCATAGGGAGGAAGCCAAACTTCCTGCTGGGGGAGCGGGGAGCGGGAGCGGGACCTCGCCCTCCCCCGGCTCGGGCCGCAGCGGGGGCAGCGCGGCCGCCGCCGGGACCGGGGGTCCCTGGGGTTTGGGGCTCTGGGGAAGGGGGGATCCCTCCCCCGTGTGTGCCCCCATGGACCCCGATCCCCGCGGGGCTGGGGCCGCTGCACAGCCCAGCCCACAGGTGGCACCTCCCGGACCTGCCGCCGCCGGGTGGGGCCCCCAAACTGGGCATCACTGCGGGGCCCCCAGGGGGATTATTTTTTTTTGGGGGGGGTGGGTCGTTGTTTTTCGTGGGGCGGGGAGGGAGATCCTTATTGTTCTGGGTGGGAAAAGGGGATTCATTGTTCTCTGGGATGGGGGGGCGGCTCTCCCGGGGGAAGGGGGACCCCGCTGCTCTCGGCAGGGGGAGGGGGGTTCTCAGGGGCCTTGGGGGGGGAAGAGGGGGGCGATGGCCCCCGGGGGTGCGAGGGGGTCGCGTGGGGAAGGGGTTGGCTATTGTTCTCCGGGCGGAGGCCGGGGGTTTCCATTGTCCTGGGTGGGGAATGGAGCCGCATTGTTCCGCGGGAGGGGGGGCTGGACGGCGGGGAGGGGGACAGGGGGGGACCGGCCCCTCTCGGGGTCCCTGTTCTCCGTGGGGAGAGGGAGCACTCGCCGCTCCGGGGGAGGGGGGCTCTCCTCGCTGCGCTCGGGGATGGGGGTCAGCACAAAAAAGGTTCCTCTATTGTTCTCTGCGGGGAAGGGGCGGGGGGGTCCCGGCTGGGCTGCGGGGACGGGGATGGGGGGTCCCGGCTGCCTGTCGGGAGGGGATGGAGGGTCCCGGCTGCCCTCGGCGGGGGGGTTCCCGTCCTCCTCCTCCGCAGCAGCCGAAGCGCAGCCCCGAGGTGCGCCCGGCGGTGCCCCCGCCGCGCCCGGGACCGCTCCGCATCCCGGGCCGGGGGGGACGCGGGACACGGAGGGGAACGGGCAGCCCCGGAGGGCTCCGCATCCCCGCACCGCTGGGGGGAACGGGACACGCGGAAAGGAGCGGGGGAACCTCGGGGGGTTCCGCACGCCGGGGCCGGAGCCGGACGGGAGAGCCCCGGGGGGCTCCGCGCAGCGCCCGCGTGGCCCCGACGGGACCCCCGCCCGCCCCGCGCCCACCTTGCGGGAGCCGCCCGGTGCTGCCGGTACTCACAGGAGAGCGGGTCGGCGCGGGGCAGGCGCGGCCAGAGCAGCAGCAGCAGCGGCAGCATCGGCAGCAGCGGCGGCGGCGGCATGGCCTGCTCCGGTGCCCGTCGGTGCCCGGGGCGGCGGAGCGCACCGGCACGTCCGGGGAAGTCCCGAGCAAGTCTGAGCAACCCCCGGTTACCAAAGCCCCAACTGCCGCCCTGGCCCCGCCCCGGGACCGCCCCCGGGGGGGCAGAAAGCCACCGGCCCCGCCACCCCCCCCGTGTCCCGCTCCCCCCGACCCCCCCGGTAGGTGAGTAAGAGCCGCTCCGGGGCCGCCGGCCCACGGGTGACTCACGCGGGACCCTCCCGCGCCCCCGGGGCCGCTCTCGCCGCCGAACGGGCCCCCCCGCCGCGGCTCCCCCACGCTCCGAGCGCCCTCGAGATCCAAAGCCCCGGTTTTGCTTATTTCTGGGCTGAAAACAGGAACATCATCCCATAAATCCCGATGTTTTCTAGCGAATCTAGAAAAGCCTCCATCATCTCAGGGCTTTCCTCCTCAAAACCCCGAAGAAGTGGAAAAACCACCCCAAGTGGCTCCGAGTCCCCCCAGACTGGCGGTGTCCCCAGGGCTGGTGGCATGCCCGGTAGTGCCACCAGCACAGAGACAAAGCCACCCACTTGGGCACCCCCAGCGTCCCCCCCCGTGCCCCCTCCCGGGGTCTCGGTGGCACCGAGAGCTTTGCAGACCCCCAGACAGGTCACAGACCCCCGGGACAGCAGGTCCTGCTCACGGCACGGCCACTGTCCCCACGTGTCCCCAGCTGGGAGGGGAGGGGACAGCGTTCCCTGCCGGGAACGGAGCGCGGAGGGTGGCAGGGGACACCTGGGTGGCCCCTGGTGCCCCACGGACTCGGGGTGGGGGAGTCGGGGGTGACCCTGAGTGGGGCTCCGAGGTGTTGGGAACCAGCGGGAATCGCAGAGATTAGAAAACACAATAAAAAACGAGAGGGGGAGGCCGCCCAAACAATGCCTTTTCCCATCGTCCTGTTTTTTGGAAGCTTCTGAACTGTTTTTGTTGAAATTTCCCAAAAATGTCAGGCTCCGGGAGCCACCCAGCCTGAGAAACTTCAGCCCCAGCGGCCGCAGTCTGGCCGAGTGAATCACGGCTGCCCCGGGGCTGGCGGCCTCCCGCGGTCCCGACCCACCGCCCGCGTCCCCCGGGAGCCGCCGGGGACCGCGGCCAGCGCTGGGTGCCGGGGAAAAGCAGAAATTCCCCCTCCGGAGCAGCGGCCACCGAGGCTGCCCACCTGCGCTGCCAGACCCTGCCCCCAGCGCCGGCCAGGCGTGCACCCCCAGTTTGTGGGGTTCAGGGGAGCCGGGCGCAGGGGGATCCCGGGGAGGGGGTGACTCCATCCTGGGGCTGGCAGAGGGGACGTGGGTGGCTCTGGGTGGCAGAGGAATCGTCAGGAGGTGGCTTGAGGCGTGCTTGGGGTGCAGGGGGAAGATGGGGGGACAGTGGTGTCGGGAGGGGAGGGTCGGTCCCCTCTGGGACATGGTGGGCTGTCACCCCGGGCGGCACGGGGACCTCGCAGCTCGCAGCAGCACCTGTGGCACGGGGACAGGGCGAGGGGCCGGTGGTCCCCAACCGCGGGCAGTGCCCGGGTGGCGTCAGGACCCGTCCGGGGCAGCCGGGGGTGGCCGAGCCGCTGTCCCGCGCTCTGAGTCAGCGGCGGCCGCTCGGCGCAGCTGCGCTCAGCGCTGCCCTTTGACGGTGACCTTTAAAGCTGCTCCCTCCGGCCCACGAGCCGCAGGCACCGGCCGGAGGCAGGAACCAGCCCGGACGCCCCCTCTGACCCCCGGCCGGGGGTCCCCCGAGGCCGGCGCGGTCCCGCTGTCCCCCGGGGTGGCTCCGTTCCCAGGGCCTCGCTGCGGGGCAGGATCTGCCCGTGGGGCCCAGCTCCCTGCCACGAGCTCTGTGCTCTGCCCGGCCGGGACGTGGCTCCTCCCCGACGGACGCGGGTGGCCCTGGGGACATCCCCAAAGCCGCCCGGAGCATCCTCGGTCCGGCTTCCCACCAGCCGCCACCTTCCCTCCCTCCCTCCCTCCCTCCATCATGTGTCACCAGGGCCCTGAATTAATCTAATTACTTGATTTCCCAGCCAGAGCTCACTCCATAAAATCCTTGGACGCAGACAGCATCTGGCTCAAGGGCCAGGGTGTAAAAAACAAACAAGGAAAAAAAACCCAAACCCCGGGAAAAGCGGGAGGAGAGGCGCAGCGGAGCTGCCTCGACTGCCTGCATCCTTTTAAAGTGACCTGGGGGAAAAATAAAGAGGCAAGAAATGCAAAGAATCCAGCAGGCAGAGTTTGCTTTCTATTCCTCTCAGTCACATTTCCACATCCAAGGGTAATTTATAACCCGCTTAACCCCTTCCCTGCCGCCCCCCCGCACCCTCTCCCTGCAGAGCATCCTCGGGGCGGCCGCACCTTCCCGCCTCTGTTTGCTTTGGGAAGCACAAAGAGTCCCGTGACGGAGCCTGAGCTGCTCCAGAGGAGGGCAAGGAATGTCAAGAGGGTGCTTGAGCACCAGGGATGGGCTCTGCAGGGCTGGGACGTGGAGTGAAGGGTCCCCTGCCCGTGCGAGGGACACCCCGGGCAACGTGGGGGGAGCCCGAGGCTTCCCGAAAGGCTCCGGGGGAGAAATGTAGGTCAGTAGTGATAAATGCCAAAGGCACCGAGTGCTCCTGGAGAGGGGAGGAGGGAGGGCGCCGAGGATTTGCCAGCTTGGAGGTTTTTGCCTGGGAAAGGCTTTTTTTTTTTTTTTTTCTCGTGGAAAGGTGAGCGGAGGGAGCGCGGGCAGGTGCGGCGGGAGCAGCGCCCACCGGCCCGAGGCTCCCGGTGCCGCCGGGGGTCGGGGCTGCGGCTCCCGGTGCCCCCGGGGGTCCGGGCTGCGCTCTGCCCCCGCCGCCGGTGGAAGCCCCACCTGCGCCGCGGTGATTTACGGTGACAGCCCCCAATCTACCCCATTTACTCGGCCATCCGTCAGCGGTGGCGGACCCGGGGCCGGGGCTGGCGGGGCTCCAGGAGGGGGAAGGGGAGCAGCCCCGCCGGCCCGGCCGCAGCTCATTTTCTGCCGGCCCTGCTTTGATTAATAAGATGAATAAACTGGCGGGGAGAGGGGAGGCCCTGCTCGCTGCTCCCGGGGGGGGGGCACGGGCTGCGCCCCCCAGCACCCCCAGCCCACCCCAGGGCACGGAGCACCCCTCAGTGCTGAGCGGGGACAGGGAGACCCCCCCTCCCCGCGCCGGGGTCTCGCCATGTGTTCCCCATTAGGGCCGGAGGTTAGCGGAGCCCCCAGCCCGCCCCCTCCTCCCCCCGGGCCCACTTTGGGGTGCTGCCATAAATGAGGGGAAGGGGCAGGGGTGAGGGGGTGTGGGGGTGCCCCTGATGTCCTGTAAAGCCGGGGAAATCACAGCTGTAAATCCGGGGTGTCAGGGAGAGCCCAGCACCGGCCGGGGGGCCCTGAGGAGTGAGGATGAGGATGGGAGGCGTGAAGGTGACTTGGGGAGTCCTGGAGGCACACAGGGGGTGGCACAGTGGGGTCCGACACTGGCTGGGGACCCTCCTGAGGGCTTGGCCCACGTGGGTGGCATCGAGGCAGCCCTGTCCCTCCGTGTGGCACCAGTGCCAGCGCGACACGGCTCCCGGCCATCCCCTCAGTGCCCCCTTCAGCCCCTCTGTGTCAGGGTGACCCCAGGTCCTGCTGTGTCCCCGCTCCTCCTGATCCCTCCCGCATCCCCCAGAGCCTCCCTTAGCCCGGGGTCCCCTCCGCTCTCTGGTCCCCATGAATCTCCCGGTTCCCACGTCCCCTTTGTCCCCCCCACTGCATCCCCCATCCCGCTGCATCCCCGCTCCTTGGACCCCTCCCTTCTCCGCACCCCTGGGTGCCCCTCACCCCGCGCTGCCCGGGCATCCCCCACCCTCCCGCACCGTGCTCTCATCCCCCCGCCCGGTGCCGGTGCCGGTGCCGGTGCCGTGGATCTGCGGCAGGCTGCGGCGGCTCCCCCCGCCCCCGGCTCCCCCCGCCCGGCGCACAGCGCGTCACGGCGGGGCCGGCG